ATATTTGTATACAAACTTACAACATCCAGTGTGACAAGTTTGGTGTTAGAGGTGACATGAGTAGGTAAATGATTTATAAAATCCAGATCGTCTCTCACAAAGCTGGGTACTTTTTGACAATATGGTTTTAAAAGTATATCCAATAAATGACTCAGTCTTTGCGTTGAAGAGTTCGGTCCTCCTACAATTGGTCTGAAGCTTAAATCAGCGGGATCAGCACATGTTATACATATACTATTTTGCTCTTTTATGGCATCCTTAATAATTTTAGACTTGTGCACTTTAGGTAAACCATAGAATTGACTCTCTCGGAATTCAAAGTTTGTCAGGTAGTCCTTTTCCTTATCTGTTAAACCCTCCGATAGTGGTCCATATACTAAGTTTTTTATTTTTGTAATTGTTTTCTTCTCATGACAGTTGCGCAATTTTTCATAAAAATTATTGTCTTGCAACATTTGTAAAATTTTACTTTTGTAAAAATCCTTATTCATTAAGACGACTCCGCCTCCTTTATCGGCCTCTTTGATAATGATGGTAGGGTCATCGCTGAGGTTTTTAAGAGCCTTTTCTTCTTCCTTAGAAAGGTTTGGTTTAATAGTCCTGGGTTTGTTTGGGAAATGAATATTTTCTAATGTGTCGCAAACAGCATCCAAAGTTTTGTTTCTTCCTCGTTTTGTGTTAAACTTGGATTTGTTTCTTACAAGGTCTGTTTCTTCTGCGTCTGTAGACTCGGAATCAGATTCACTGGAATCACTTTCATGAAAATATTCACGTAGCCTGAGTCGCCGAGTATAAGCTTTTATATCCGTTTTAAGCTCTTGATTATTTACTTGAGGCGTAGGGGTGTATTTTAGACCCTTAGACAGTAACTTGATTTCGGAATCCGTTAGTTGTCTATGGGAAAGATTAAATATTTTTGGTTCCATCTTAATTACATTCTTGGACGTGTCCCCGGCATTGCTGTTGCTTATAATTGTGGCATTTGATTTTTGTATCTTTGACCTTGGTTCATTTTGCCTCCTCCTAAAAAATACTTGTGTACCCCTCTTCCGATGTATGTTGTTTTTTCGTTTCTGTAATAGTTTGGTGGTTGTTTATTTGTACCATTTCCTCGGTGATTTTTATGTTTACCGTTATTGTCCCGATTCTGTATGTCTCTGTGTTGCTTAGGAAATGGTCGGTTTTGTGAAATGGCTGAACGAGAACTGTAACTCATGTGTTTAGAGTTCTCGTGTTGATTCATCCTTTTATATTTTCGTTTCCCTGAAAATGTGTTCATTGCTTTTGATGCATTTTCCATAGGAAGATCCACAGTTTCTGTAGAATTATTTGTTGAGTTGTTTCTAACGGCGGACGCGTAACTTTTCCTAGAAACTTGTCTATTGGACAATTGCTGTAGTCTTGTGTTTTTGGGTTTAGTAAGTTCCTTACCGTAATTCTTTTCATAATCCAAAAGCCAGGTTTCTGTATATCTCCATCTGTTGTATGAGATTTGTTCCTCCTTTAGGCATTCAGATTTCCACATATCTTGAAGTATTTCTAATATTCTGCCGTATGCTTTAGTTTTCAGTATGCGTTCCATTTCTAGGTCAATGGACATAACTTTTTTATGGTTGTTTTCTGCCCTCATTCTGAGTAGCTGTATTTCCCCTATCACACGGTTCTTAGCTGTCTCAATTCTAACATTTGTTTGTTCTACTGGTTCTCCCCGAAGTGGCTTGATTCTGAATTTCCTAGGGATTACGGGATTTTCCAGGTTTACCCATTTTTCGTAATATTCTGCGCGGTTGGCATTACTTATTTGTTTTAAAATAGGTTTGTTTCCTGGAGTTGAGAGTTTGCATCCAACTTACTTTGATCCTTTGTTTAATTCTGGTTGCTTCTTTTTGCAAAGCAAGTTCATTAACTTCCCTCTGTATCAATTGAGTTGGAGATTGATATGAGCTTACCTCAAAATTGGTCTGTGTTAATAGTGTTTTATAAATTACGTGTGATTTTCCCGTACTTTTGTCATATTGTATCTATGACGTCATAATAGACATTTAACGTTCCGCTTAACATGACGTCATAATCACCGTTACTATGATACTATTGTAAGCTTCTGAAGATTGAAAAATGAAAGCGCTAAAGCTTAACTGAGGATTTTTGTGTTTTCTTTTTACTTTTTTTAATATATATATATATATATATATATATATATATATATATATATATATATATATTAAAAAAAGCTAAAAAGAAAACACAAAAATCCTCAGTTAAGCTTTAGCGCTTTCATTTTCAATCTTCAGAAGCTTATAATAGTATCATAGTAACAGTGATTATGACGTCATGTTAAGCGGAACGTTAAATGTCTATTATGACGTCATAGATACAATATGACAAAAGTACGGGGAAATCACAAGTAATTTATAAAACTCTATTAAGTTTTGGCTGAAAAATACTAATAAAATGTTTTTCTTTTTCCCGTCTCTGGATATCAGTGGCACAACTGAGTTTATAGAAAGGGAAAATTTTGAATTGTTTTTTACCACACGCCTCCAGGTGCGAACTTAATTGAATTTGTCTGTATTCGGGTGTACTAATGTGTTGCTTATGTACACGTACACGGGCACGGAGAGTGTTGCCGGTTTCACCAATATAATATTCCTTGCATCCAGGACATGTGATGACATAAATGACATTTTTTGTATCGCATGACATGTTTTCTTTAACTCTAAATTCACGCCCATTGAAATTATAGCTGGTCCCTTCTGTAATGTATTCACATGTACCGCATCGAGGGTTCTTACACTTAGAGACTGTATAAGTATGGTCGTTGAATTTGGAAGAACAAAGTATTCTCTTTAGGTTTTTGGGTTGGCGTTTACTGTTGATAAAACGACAATTCTTGTATACGTTTTTCGTTTGTTCGTCCTCTCTAAGTACGTTGTTCAATTCATGAATAATTGAACTCACGTTTTGATTTCTCGGGTTATGCGTGTGCACAAATGGAATTATTTCAACGTCATTCGCACGTCGTATGTTTAAAAGTAACTGACTTCTATCGCACTCCTTGGCTTTCTTTATACCATTATCTACAAGTTGTTCTGGATATTTTTGGTTTAATAAATACAATTTTAATTCCTCCAGTCGAATATCCCTGATATTGGTATTACTCACAATGGTGCATATCCTTCTTGCGAGGTTATATGGTATAGCTGTTTTAGTGTGATGGGGATGGCTTGATCCAAAATGCAGATATTGGTGTGTGTCGGTTGGTTTATAGTAAATATCCGTATTTAAGCTGGTATTATCCTTTGTAACAAGAACATCGAGGAATGGCATTTGCAAATCATCTGTTTCCATCGTGAATTTGATATCCGAATTCATTTGGTTAAGTAGATCATAAAACTCCGTTAGTTCTGGACTGAAAATTATCCCGATGTTCTAAACAACAGGTTTCAACGGGACTTCATCCTAGAGGCTCTAAAATTAGTTCTGGATAACAATACGTTTGAGTTCGCAGACCATCATTACCTCCAAATTAAGGGAACAGCAATGGGGACAAAAGTCGCACCTACCTATGCAACATTAACCCTTGGTTATCTAGAACATAAATTACATGATCAACTGTGTACGTTGTGGGGGATAGAATCTGCAAACAAAATACGGTCTAAATGGAAAAGATTTTTAGACGATTGTTTTATCTTATGGGAGGAGGATGTCGATAAACTAACGGAGTTTTATGATCTACTTAACCAAATGAATTCGGATATCAAATTCACGATGGAAACAGATGATTTGCAAATGCCATTCCTCGATGTTCTTGTAACAAAGGATAATACCAGCTTAAATACGGATATTTACTATAAACCAACCGACACACACCAATATCTGCATTTTGGATCAAGCCATCCCCATCACACTAAAACAGCTATACCATATAACCTCGCAAGAAGGATATGCACCATTGTGAGTAATACCAATATCAGGGATATTCGACTGGAGGAATTAAAATTGTATTTATTAAACCAAAAATATCCAGAACAACTTGTAGATAATGGTATAAAGAAAGCCAAGGAGTGCGATAGAAGTCAGTTACTTTTAAACATACGACGTGCGAATGACGTTGAAATAATTCCATTTGTGCACACGCATAACCCGAGAAATCAAAACGTGAGTTCAATTATTCATGAATTGAACAACGTACTTAGAGAGGACGAACAAACGAAAAACGTATACAAGAATTGTCGTTTTATCAACAGTAAACGCCAACCCAAAAACCTAAAGAGAATACTTTGTTCTTCCAAATTCAACGACCATACTTATACAGTCTCTAAGTGTAAGAACCCTCGATGCGGTACATGTGAATACATTACAGAAGGGACCAGCTATAATTTCAATGGGCGTGAATTTAGAGTTAAAGAAAACATGTCATGCGATACAAAAAATGTCATTTATGTCATCACATGTCCTGGATGCAAGGAATATTATATTGGTGAAACCGGCAACACTCTCCGTGCCCGTGTACGTGTACATAAGCAACACATTAGTACACCCGAATACAGACAAATTCAATTAAGTTCGCACCTGGAGGCGTGTGGTAAAAAACAATTCAAAATTTTCCCTTTCTATAAACTCAGTTGTGCCACTGATATCCAGAGACGGGAAAAAGAAAAACATTTTATTAGTATTTTTCAGCCAAAACTTAATAGAGTTTTATAAATTACTTGTGATTTCCCCGTACTTTTGTCATATTGTATCTATGACGTCATAATAGACATTTAACGTTCCGCTTAACATGACGTCATAATCACTGTTACTATGATACTATTATAAGCTTCTGAAGATTGAAAATGAAAGCGCTAAAGCTTAACTGAGGATTTTTGTGTTTTCTTTTTAGCTTTTTTTAATATTGTTATCCGATTACTGAGACATTATTTAAATTTTGGATATATATATATATATATATATATCAGATCGTGCATATCACCAAAATATTTTTTCTTTTTCATGAGGAAATAATGTCAAGAAAAATGGGTAAGTGCAAATGAAAATAAGTTATGCTTTCATCTTTGGATTTTAATTTCTTCGACCGCGTTGTACAATAAGAGCCTTTGCTTTAAAACCTCAGAATTAGTTGATGTTTCTGTCGGATATGACCGTATATAAACCGAGATCCCGTGTTGCAATAGATGCTGACACAAAAAAATCCATTATTGCTCAAAGGCCCTTAGTGCCAAGTAAAGGTCTGATTTTGCAGGACTCTACTGCCAAGTGACGGCGTCTCAATATGAGTGAAAAATTCTCGATAAGGACCATAAACAAAACAAACAAAAGCCTATGATGTAAAATATAAAGATAATGAACCCTGACCAGCCTTATAAATTTCAATAACAAAACGAATTTAAACCGGGCAAGTACACGGTCCCCTGAAAATAGCATAGCTGACGCGGTCAGGTGCCCAGGCATCGTCTCAAGCCACGGTCCGGAGTCTGCACCGTGGCTGTTTGATCACAAAAACTGTCGTAAACTTGATTATTTACGACTCTCTATTGTGACATCATATTCAGTCAGTGCCAAGATCTGTTTCCATCGCAATTGAAATCAACAACTGACGTCAACAGTATACAAGAAATATTTCCTATACTGCGATTGGACATTGAAAGTCACTATCAAGTTCATTATCCGACCATGCTTTACTCGCATTGGTCAATTTTTAATGATCTGCGAAGAAATCTCTCTACAAAGAAATCTCTCCACGTTCAACCACGGCCAGAATGGGAGAGGATCGTACATTTTGACCGTGGTTTGCGACGATGGTGCCTAGGAGTAATATAACCACCGGTCACACCCGCAGAGTCACCGACGGATTAATCTTATATATACATAAGAATTATACTCTGTATTCAACGTATTAAACATAATGCCCAAACGAATGGTATCAATACTGGTATGTTTGTCAAAGTAACGAATCAAGAGTATTTTTCAATAATATACTTACAGAAGAGATCATTATAACAATCGTGGAATTTGCCAAAAATTTTACTGACTTTGATCGGTCTTATTGAAATCCTATTGTAATATCAATTTATTATTTTTTTTTGTTGTTGTTGTAAATTTATCATGCTTTTGCGAATCGAATAATATAGGAAGATATAAACAGGTGTTGTTGGAAAATTACTATCTAATTGAGGAAAGTTGACGATGGAAAAGCAGAGTCAATTCCTTTGCTATTCAGTTTAGTTAATTTTAAACATCAAAAGTCAGCTAACCATTTAATTTGAAAAAGATTTTGCCGACTCTGTTTCGTCTTTAAAAATCGAGATCACTGGTATATATATCTAGTTGATTATTTAGTGTATTATGTAAATGTGCTCTTAAATTGAAATGCCTACCAAATTAAAAAAAAAACATAACAAACTTGATTTTTTTTCAGCAAAAATGAAGATTACGTCACGCATTATGTTCCTAATTTGGATGATCACAAATATCACGGTATTGATGGAGACGCTACAGGTAAGCTTCAAGCCATAACATGCATTTTTCTCTAGTTTGTAAAATATTCAATGTTTAATGAATGAATATTCATAATTTTAAACTAGTGAAATATGTATTTCTAGGTAACGATGAAACTGAAATAAACCAAATTCACGTTATTATAACATAAATATAAGAAGATGGTCATTTTGCACCTTAAATGTTTCCGAAAATAAAGTTATTTGCCGTTGATGAGAAAAGAACATTTTTATATTGTCTAAATAGCTGTGGTAAAGGATTCATTTTGTTCTTTGTTTAATTAAGAAAGTTTGTAATGCACTTTTTACTTAAAGGTTTGTTTGAAGTTCAAATTACTTTTACAACATCTTAATAATACATATGTACATGCACTGCCCATACACTTAAAGGTGAAATTCAAGGTGCAACAAAATGGTCAATAATCAAATTTCTAATTGTAAATTATTTGGTGAAGTATTTTTGTATAAAAACATTTTGTAATGCTACCTTTATTACAAATATCGGGGTTAGACCCCTTCATTTAGGATATTTTTAAACCAAAGATGTAAATAACATTGACAATTAACAAATAAAATTTGCCTGTAAGCAGGAATGTAAAACTTAACCGTTTCCCTTTGCTTTCTATCCTTTCAAGACTGGTTTCAGTTTATTACAGTTATAGAAAATATTAAATTTCATTAAAAACAAAAACACACACAAGTATGTATTTTTGTCAAAATCTCTTTGGCAGTCTGTGCATGTTTTATGTAAAATAGCTTCATTTATCTTCAAATTGCACAGCTTCTCATTCTTATTAATTAATACATAGATTGTTAATGTTCCATAAGCTGTAGAAAGAAAACAACTGTAAATAAAAAATATATATATTTTTTTTATTCTTAAAAAAAAAAGATATAAATGGTATATTATAAAGTGAAAAAGGTGTCAAACCACGAAATTCTGAAAATATGGACATGGATGTCTAATTTTGACATCTACTTTCCCCACGTATTTTCATTAATGAAAATGACACCTGAACGTTTTTACACGATACTAGTAGCAGATAGATTAAAATATTTTGAAAGTTATTAATTTTGAGTTTGGATTAACCAAATATTTGAAATGACAAGCAAATTCAAAGGGTTCAATTGTGGTCCCCCGCTTTCAGTGTCTTTGTGGATGAGATGTTATTTTTCTTATGGCATATTGTGTCCAATATGAACACCCTATCATATGTCATTTCTTTATAAATTATCATTGAAGTTGATCTTTTTTTAAATAAGGTCGTGAAGGCCAAGGTCAAGGGTAAGAAATCATAGTACATGTCAAAATGAAAGCCGTCTCAATATAAGGAACAAGATGTGTTTGTGAAACTCTGATGACCACGTATGGCAACATAACGAAGATTAAACTTTTCTTTAATGCAAATTAAATATATTATTACACAAAGTAGGGTTTTTCTCACAATACGATTGTGAAATACAAAATCCCTATAGGACCACCTGTTCAAAAGTTATAGTCGAGGATAAATTTTTGATAGGTAGGTCAAATTCCAAGGTGAAAGGGTTTGAGTTGTTGGCTTCTTAAGAAAGTCTTGTCACAAGTAATACATGTGTGAAGGATGAAAATCCTAACTCTAACCCTAACCGTTCAAAAGTTATGGCCAAGATTAACGATTTTTAAAAGTAGGTCAACTCCAAAGTTAAGTTCAAAGGGTTAAAGGTCTTGGTATCCAATGAAAGGTCTTCTCACAAGGATTACATAAGAGTATAAAACCCTAGCCCTTCCGTTCAAAAGTTATGGTCAAGGTTAAAGTTTTTTCATAAGTACGTAAAACTCTAAGGTCGAGGTCAAAAGGTCAAAGCTGTTGATATCCAATGAAAGATCTTGCCATAAAGAATACATAATATTATGTGAAATATGAAAGTCCTAGTATCTACCGTTTAAAAGTTGTGACCAATGTTAAAGTTTTTAAAAAAGTAGTTTAAACTCCAAGGTCAAGGGGTCAAAGTTCTTGGTATCTAATGAAAGGTCTTTTCACAAGGAAAACATTTGTGAAGTATGAAAGCCCTAGCCCTTACCCTTCAAAAGTTATGATCAAGGTTAAAGTTTTTTCATAAGTACGGAAATCTTCATGGTCAAGGTCAAAAGGTCAAAATTGTTGGTATCCAATGAAGGGTCTTGCTACAAAGAATACATATAAAACATATGAAAGTCCTAGTACCTACTATTCAAAAGTTATGGCCAAAAGTAAAAGTTTGGAATTTTTGTGCAAAAGAGGCTCAAACTCCAGGGTCAAAAGGTCAAATTTGGTGGTATCCGAAGAAAGGTCTTGTCACAAGGAATACACATGTGAAATATGAAAGTCATAGCTCCACTAAATTAAAAGTTACGGGCAAGGTTTAAGTTTTTGTAAAGGACGGACAAACCGACAGACGAATGAGATTTAATGTCCCCTCGCTTTCCCGATAGCGGGGACAAAAACGATGCTCTAAAACACATGCGGGTTACTTTTATTATAGAAGGGTCTTGTTACAAGGGATACACATGTGAAATATGAAAGTCATAGCTCTACTAAATCAAAAGGTATGGGCAAGGTTAAAGTTTTTGTAAAAGACGGACGGACAGACGAATAAGATTTAATGTCCCATCGCTTTCGAGAAAGCGGGGGACAAAAACGAAGCTCTAAAACATGTGTGGGTTACTTTTATTATAGATTCTGTGTGTCGTTGCATGATATACCTAGTAGAATTGTAAAAGTCTTCAAAAACCGGTTCTCTTTTTTTTCTTCGTTGTAGAAACTGGGCACCAAGAGAACAGGTAAGCCTCAACAACTTTAATTCTTTGAGTAAGTTTTTAGGTCACCTGAGTAAACTCAGGTGACCTATTGCTATCTGTTTTCGTCCGTCGTCGTGCGTCGTCCGTCGTCCATCGTGTGTTAACATTTGAACATTTTCATCTTCTTCTCTGCAACCAATGAACCAATTTCAACCAAATTTGGCACAAAACATCTATGGGTGAAGGGGAACAAAAATTGTGAATTTCATGATCCCTGCCCCCCTGGGGCCTGAGGGGTGGGGCCAAAACCACTAAAATTAATGCAATCTTTAAAAATCTTCTTCTTTACTCCTGGACATCAAGCAGTCAAACTGTTTGCATGATTGTAACCAGCAATGAGTCCTCTACCAAAATTGTGAAATTCATGACCCTGGGGTCAGGGGTTCTAGTGCTAGGGCGGGGCTAAATAAGTAGGTAGTGAAAATGCATTATTTCTTTGAAAATCTTCTTCTCTGCTCCTGGGTATTAAATAAACCAACTAAGTACATAGTTATGATGAGCAAGAGTACCTCTACCAAAATTGTGAATTTTATGGCTCCAGGGTCAGGGGTTCTGGTTTTAGGGTGGGGCTCTATTGATTATATAGTGAAAATACATGAATTCTTTGAAAATCTTCTTCTCTGCTCCTGGGTATTAAATAAACTAAGTACATAGTTATGATAAGCAAGAGGGCCTTTACCAAAATTGTGAATTTTATGGCCCCAGGGTCAGGGGTTCTTGTTTTAGGGTGGGGCTAATGATTACATAGAGAAATGCATGATTTCTTTGAACATCTTATCCTTTGCTCCTGGTTAATATGCTAATGATCTAATTACATATTTAAGGCCAGGATTTATTTTATTTTCCGTTTTACAAACCCTCCGCTGAAGGTTTTGAATTTTCAGAAAAAAATAAAACAATTTTTTTCTTTCCGATGTCAAATTTGAGTCGGGATCGAGATTTCAAATTTACGAACTCGCACTTCCGGTTTTACGATGAAACGGCGGGTAAATAAAGCTAGATCTGTGAAGATAGCTTGCTTTAGTATAAAATTCATCGATAAGAGTGCCATTCAAAACGTTTCACCCGTTCAAAGGACAAATAAAATGCTGATGACTTTGTTGCACAATGACATGCTGGTGAGATAATTATGTATTCATTTCAAAAGTAACTGTCTGTAAATTATTTTCCTCCCCCAGGTTTTAAACTGCCCGTGGTAGCTATTGCATATTGCCAGCGACATTGTTTAGGTCTCTGTTATAGCTTACAGTCTAAGCATCATTCTTCAGAAAAGGGTTGCTTATGCATCAGATGTAATGAATAAAACTATGGGAGAAGTTAAGTCCATTTGAGGAAGAAATAAACAATAACCTGAAGAAATAAAAAAAAATTCAACTATTAAAAGGCAAGAATACACAAATATATACAGGCATATAGTATCATTTGTATCAGCCAGAAATATTATTTTACACTTAATTGAAAAAATGTTCACCCTACTCCCCAATACTCCCTGTCTGTTTTATGATAGGAATTATAATTTTAGGGATCAAGTAAATTTTAGAACAATGTCTACACATTCACCTAACACATATTAAAAAAATGAATATATATTGAAAGACTTTTAAAGAATTGATTTTTTAAAATAAATTTTGATCAACATCACAAAATTTATATAACTGGCCCAAACTGGCAGATGATGAAATTACTAAGCAATTCTACTTTCCTATTTGTAAGCATTATGTGTCCAGTGGTAAGGGGCCTATTAGGATAGCATAAAAAAAGAATGTACAAATGTTAATAATTGATTTATCAAAAAAAAAATTTTTTCCTTCTCCTTTGGGACTTTTTTATTCTCATGTTCATAACTAAACCTATAAAACCTAAAAAAAAAAAAATGCTGGCCTTATGATGAAGAAAGGGGCCTCTTTCAAAATAGATAATTTCAGGGCCGCTGTTTTACCCCAGAGGCCATGAAATTCACAATTCACAATTTTGAAAGAGGCACCATTGCTTATCATAATTATAAAATTTGTGAATTTCATGGCTTTTGGATTAAAACACGAACCAAATACAATTGCTGGAAAGTTGTTACATGATACTCAGGTGACCTATAAGGCCCGTGGGCCTCTTGTTTATGTTGATAAATGGTATTGCATGAACCTACTCTTTCATATATTACTTCATGTTTTTGTAGTGCACATTATGAGGTTTTGGGAAGTAGAGATCCTGAGAATGTCTATGACCGAGTTAAAGACGTCAATGCCGGTGTTGTTACACAATCATACAAGGACAAAAGTAGAGAATAATTCTAAACTCATTATAAATATTGTTGAGTACAAAAGTCAGGTTATGTTGAAAAGATTGTTAATTTCAGTGCAAATAGGATACACTGACATGTAAAACTTTGCATTAGGTCATTATGATATACTAGTACTTCACATACAATGTATACTATTATGTATGTCACACAGAATGCGGATTCAAGTATTTGACGTCAAAGTTCGATATCACAAAAATTAAACTATACTTTAAGCATACTGTATTCTCTTTAGAGAAGTGGAGATGCTTTGGCCTACATCGGGATGAAGGTGAAAGCTTGTCCACTTACTAGTATCTAAAGAGGGTACATATTGGGCTTGAATGAAATTTATATTTTTTGGACCAAGACTTCTTTTATAAGATGATGGTCAATATTTTGTTTATATTGTCCAATAGTAACATGCAACACATCCATACTTCCTCAGATTGATTTAAAACTCTTTAGAATAGTTCTCCTTCGAAAATTGTTGCATTTAATCTACTGCTTAGATTTTAGAAATCAGTTATATAATATAAGCATTTGAAATTTTCAAATTTTGTCTCTCCAAATGGTTTCTTTACACACGTATATATATATTTTACTATGAGGAGTCCTTTAACTTTGAATGACTTCCCTTCGGAAATGTTTGCTCTAAATACATTATATAATATTTATAATATTTATACTTGTATTTTTTCCAAATAAACTCCGAAACGGCTGCACTAGAAATACACTAGATATTCTAAGCATATGATTTTCCAAACAAACTACTATTATGTTAACTTTTAAAAGCTTCCAATCTAAGTACAGATTTGAGCCAAAAATCCGTTAAAAGCGTTTTTCGTTATAAGGAAAACAATCGAAACATTTTGTTTTTGTACCATTTTGTTTCTTTGTATGACAACTTTACAATATGTGAAAATAAGAAAATTAAAGGAAGCATATAAAAATAACTATGTATTCTTAAAAAAACAAGAGGCCCATTGGCCTTATAGGTCACCAGAGTATCGTGTAACAACTTTCAAATAATTAAAATTGGTTCGTGTTTTACCCCAGAGGCCATGAAATTCACAATTCACAATTTTGAAAGAGGCACCATTGCTTATCATAATTATAAACTTAGCATGCTTACTCTATTTACTTAATACCCAGAGGTAGATAAGAGTAGTCACCACTTTCCGGTATAAGAGTAACAAAGAGAAAATGCACTTCCACTTTATAACCAGTTGTGCACCTCACCCCAAAGGAACCACTGACCCTGGGGCCACATATTTCATAATTTTGCAAATTTTATCATAAAATGATTGATTACTACTAAAGAGCAGATTTCAAAGCATTAATTTATTTTCAGACTATGTTAACCCCCCCCCCCCCCCCGACCCAAGGGGCATTAAAAATAACCTTTTTGCTAGATGCACCTTTCTTCATCACAAATATATATATATAGTTGGATCATTGGCATAAAACCCAGGAGCAAAGGAATAGATTTTCAAAGAATTAATGCATTTTCACTATATAATCAATAGAGCCCCGCCCTAACACCAGAACCCCTGACCCTGGGGCCATAAAATTCACAATTTTGGAAGGGGCACTCTTTCTCATCATAACTATGTACTTACTTAGTTTATTTAATACCCAGAAGCAGAGAAGAAAATTTTCAAAGAATAAATGCATTTTCACTATATGATCAATAGAGTCCCGCCCTAACACCAGAAACTCTGACCCTGGGGCCATAAAATTCACAATTTTGGAAGTGGCACTCTTGTTCTTCATAACTATGTCCTTAGTTAGTTTATTTAATACCCAGAAGCAGAGAAGATTGTCAAAGAATAAATGCATTTTCACTATATGATCAATAGAGCCTCCCTCTAACACCAGACCCCTGACCCTGGGGCCATAAAATTCACAATTTTGGAAGTGGCACTCTTGCTCGTCATAACTATGTCCTTAGTTAGTCTATTTAGTACCCAGAAGCAGAGAAGAAAATTTTCAAAGAATAAATGCATTTTCACTATATGATCAATAGAGCCCCGCCTGAACACCAGAACCCCTGACCCTGGGGCCATGAAATTCACAATTTTGGAAAAGGCACTCTTGCTTATCATAACTATGTACTTAGTTAGTTTACTTAATACCCAAGAGCAGAGAAGAAGATTTTCAAAGAAATAATGCATTTTCACTATATAATCTATATAGCCCCGCCCTAGCACAAGAACCCCTGACCCTAGGGCCATGAATTTCACAATTCTGGTAGAGGACTCAATGCTTATTACATTCATGCCAACAGTTTGACTGCTTGATGTCCAGGAGTAAAAAAGAAGATTTTTGAAGATTGCAATAATTTTAGTGGTTTTGGCCCCACCCCTCAGGCCCCAGGGGGGCGGGGACCGTAAAATTTACAATTTTTGTTCCCCTTCAGCCATAGATGCTGTATACCAAATTTGGTTGAAACTGGTTCAGTGGTTTCAGAGAAGATGCTGAAAATGTTGAAATGTTGACACACGACGCACGACGGACGAAGACGGATAGCAATAGGTCACCTAAGTTACTCAGATGACCTAAAAATTTAAAAGTAAAGAAAATTCGGATTAGCCAATATCCATTTTGATTAGATTATTTATCTCAGTCTGGTAATATCACCTTGTAGACACTTTATGGTAGTACCTGTATATTTTTATGCAAGACGAAAAACATTAAATGTTTTAAAATAGATGTAGGCATCTCATGATTGTCAACAGTAATTTTCAATTCTTAATGTCAATGGAACCATCACTTAGTAATATTGTCTTCTTGATTCTATGGAAATTTCATGAATTTTTAGATACAAGAAATATGAGAAGAATCCTTCCTTAACAGCCTCTAAATAGCATATAACAGATAAAATTAAGTTGCTTTATTCCATTTAAGGAAGAAACGCCGTATTTTTTATGCACCCGGATCGATAGATCCGAGGCATATATTGTTTTTGTCCTGTCTGTTTATCTGTTTGTCTGTCTGTCTGTTGTCAACTTTAACCTTCGCCATAATTTTTGAACCATGAGAGATAGAGACCTCATATTTGGTGTGCATACTCCACTAATGAAGTTCTTCAAATGACACCAAGGTCAATGACCTTGTGACCTTGACTTTCACTTATCTGCTGAAAATAGTTTTTTAAACTTTGTTGCCGCCGGGCGCATAGTGTTTCACAAACACATCTTGTTTTAAAGTGAAAATAATTTGAGGGGTTGTTTATATATCTTTTAATCATTTATTTCTGTTCCTAAACTTACTAAGGGATTTTGAAGTATTTCCCCATGCATGTATATTTAATTGTCAGTAGAAAATGAAAGATAATTTTTGGAATACATGTAGTTTTGTTACCAGTAAATAAAAGAAAATTAATTTCCC